GAGTGCCGGTGGTGAGTGGAGGGCAGAGGGGTGTGCTTCCGAGCTAGGGAGAAAGAAAGAGAGAGAGAGAGAGAGAGAGAGAGAGAGAGAGAGAGAGAGAGAGAGAGAGGGAGAGATTGAGGAGGGGGGAGAGTTTAGTGTGTGTGAAGGTAAGAGCGAATTTTGAGCTTACAACACTAAGGTACTGTCCAGCCAGTCCTAAAATTTCATAAAATATCTCCCCTTGTCTCATATTATCTACCAATCAGGTCTTATATTATCTACCAACTAGGTGGCATATTGTCTACCAAATAGGTGTCATTTTATCTACCAACTAGGTCTCATATTGTTTATCAACTAGATCTCATATAATCTACAAACTATGTCTCATATTATCTACCAGCTAAGTCTCACATTATCTACGAACTAGATCTCATAATATTATCTATCAACTTGGTCTCATATTGTGCAAAACTAGGTCAGAAACTAGTTCTTATATTATCTACCAATTAGGGATTTTGGACATGTCCGACTTGTCTAAAGGTCACAAAGATGACCCCAAAAAATGGAAGCCCCTGCCACGTTTTGGTTCGTGTGCCCCCCCCCTCCCAGCCCCCGTAGTCAAAGTGGGTAATTAAATATTCTCCACATCATAACTTTGGGACACTTAAATATCCGAGGACCCCTGCAACTTCAGGACCGACCCAACGGCCCTAAATTGGGGGACCATTGAGAGTCTGAAGTTAGTCCATTTCTCCTCCTATACACTCCTAAATTAAGACAACAACTTGACAGTTGCATAAATTTCTATGTTTAAGAGATTGTCGGGCGATGCTAGGGGGCCATATCCAGAGTGAGATCCACTGCACCAACTGGCGGTGATCTCGTGGGGCATGACATATGTTCCTGCCGTTGACACATTGATCACGTGAGATCACAGAACTGTGGGGCGAGCACTTGATGTTTAGGGGGGTCTTCGCGTCATCAAAGAAAAGCCAAGTGGCCGGGAGAGTCAGATGTTCATCGTCAGCTCTCTCTATCGATACATACACTGCATGTTGGTCAAGGGGAGGAAGAAGAATGGGGAGGAGGGGGGCATCGGCAGGAGGGGACATGGGGAGGAAACGGGGCATGGGGAGGAGGGGATATGAGAGGAGGGGGGCATGGGGAGGAAGGGTGGTATGGGGAGGTAGGGTGGCATGGGGAGGGAGGGTGGCATAGGGGGGAAGGGTGGCAGGGGGAGGAAGGGTGGCAGGGGGGGGGAGGGTGGGAGGGGAGGAGGGGGGGGGTAGGGTGGTATGGGAGGAAGGGTGGTATGGGGAGGAAGGGTGGCATGGGGAGGTAGGTGGTATGGGGAGGAAGGGTGGCATGGGAGGAAGGGTGGCATGGGGAAGAAGGGTGGCATTGGGAGGAAGGGTGGTATGGGGAGGTAGGGTGGCAGGGGGAGGAAGGGTGGCATGGGAAGGAAGGGTGGTATGGGGGAGGAGGATGGTATGATGATTGGTGACATGAGGAGTGTTGTCACAGGGAGGGGTGGCATGGGGAGGAGGAATGGAAAGAGAGGGATTGGTAAGAAAATTGGTGATATGAGGAAGGATGGCAGCCGGAGGGTGATATGGGAAGGAGGTATGTCATTTGGGAGGAGCGTTAGTCCAGAAGTTATAAATATTCTGGGCTTATAATGCAGTGTTTCTCTACAGGTGGGGGCCTGAGGCATCCTCTCCAAACTCTTTTTTGTTTCGTTGCTACAATCAGTATATCACATTTAAAGCATTTTAAAGGTTCACATGTCATTAGCACGAAACCGATTCGTTCAAGACCAATCAATACGAAAAAATCGTTTCCTTGAACGGTGAGTTGTTTGAAGGGAAGCTTGTTCGAAATTTTAATTTATTCCAAAGAGATTATTTTTGTTAAGGAAGAAAAAAAAAAATTAAGTGAAGATAATGTTGCGCTTTATACATTGTGAAAATGTCAACTTTTTAATTAAAAAATAATTGTGTTTTTGTTTTTCCCCGTCCATTATTTAATTCTACACAAACTTCCTTCAGTGCGCACAAACTGCAGTTAAAAAAACCCACAAAAAACATTCCTTCTTACAAATGGGCTTCAAACAATTTGAGTTGGCACTACTTTCCGGATAGTTTTAAATCTTCTCTTCACAAGTTAGACACTATTTGCTGAAATGGGAGACTACGCAAACGGAAGTAACCAGTTGACGTCACACGACTTCTCCGTAAAATTCCTTTAACAAAACGCTTGGTTTGCCCGTTACGAATTGACGCGAAGCAAAACACGAGAGATCTTCGCGTTCTTTGATTTCTTCTTGCTTCGTCTCAGTGTTTATGATTGTAATCACGAGAAATGAAACTGACTGGACTACAACAGCAGACATGTAATAAACTAACGTTATTATCCTGTATGCATATGTCTCATATGGCATATAATCATAGAAACATCTTATTTTATATTGAAACTTATTCCATAGTAATAACATGTTCGTCCAGAAAATTGTAGAGATTTAAAATGTCCTGAAAAAAAATTAATAAAAAATAAAAAAATAAAAAAATAAAATAAAAATAATTCAAGGAGCTGACGTCCTTGTCTTCCAATATCAATTTTCAGTCCTAACGTGAGAACCTTCAATGAACGTAATTTACAAAGGGCATCTGTGAACGATTTCATCTTCAACCATGCATCGATCTGAGCCATCACAGCCGTCATCTTGTCCGTCATCTGTCTTGTCCCAGTTCCTTTGTTGTTGCCGGGGGGTGGGGGGGGGGAGGAGGAGGAGGTGGGCCGGGCCGGGCCTGAGCACCTCCTTTTGAAATCACATACGAAACGATGGATGGCTGTGATTGACAGGCTTTTGATCAATCACGGCAATGAAAGATTCAGTTGGTTCGTTAGGACTCGCACACGCGACTCGACCTGTGTGCACATGCATCATTTACACGTCTTGTTGGATGCACACATGCATCATTTACACGACTTGTTGGATACACACATGCGTTAATTACACGAATTGTTGGATGTGTACGTCCTTTTCACGGATTTTATTTTTAAAATTTTTAAACGAAAAGATCACACGAGTACAAGTCTGGGCAGCCTTTACACTGTACAGACATCTTGCCGTGTGTGTGTACGCTGTACACGCGTCCATGTGCAATTCAGCCATCTTTTAGGACGGGTACACTATCCAGACACGTGGCTACAGGAAAGCACGACAACGTTCTGAGATCTGAAACGTTGTTCACGGGGAATGCTTAGCAATGCGGTTGAGAAGTCAGCGTTTCAATCCCAGGAATTTAAACAATCGAGTCCATGGAGTTGATTGTGGGCACATCTTTATCGGCAACTACAACTATTGCCTTGGAACAACTGAGTTCACTATTGGAGTTTGGATTCCCGACAATGTTGCCGTCCTTTCAATTCATCATTCTGTGAGACAACTTTAATTTAACAGCTCAATTCATGTATTCCGTAGAATAGACAAGTGGACAGTTCGATTTCAACTTTAAAACTACACAACATCAATTTATTATATATATATTTTTAAAAAAATCAACAACAACAGCCCAACCAAACAAATAAAACCAGCCAGATTTTTTAGAAAATGTGGTTTCCGAAAATAAACCGATTTTCAAGGAAATGTGTTTTGGCCACTGTCGCCGGTTGGTCTGTCATGATCATGTGTTTCATCTCATCGTACGTGAAAGTAGAATTTCGTAAAACCACCGCCAGGGTGCACCACGATGTCAAGGTCGGGCTGAAACACGCGACGGACCAGCAGCTCGGCTTCGCGGAGGACGACGAGGACCAGGTCAAGCCCCCCGACGTCAAAGGTCATCGGTGCGCCCCCAACAACTTCGTCCACTGCGACGATCGCCTGATCGCGCTGATGGCCTGGGACAGGAATCAACCGAAGGCGGAAATCCACAGCAAGTTTGTCAACAAGAGCAAAGTGGACGCGGCCCGATTCGAGCTCCATTTCGGCGTAGGCGGTGCGCCGGGGGGCGAGGAAGACAGGGCTGAATTCCTGGAAAGGTTTACCGTCGACCCGGCGAATCCTTATCACAGGATAAACCAGAAGCTGAACTCGGGGACCAAGATTTCCATTCACATGATCAACATGCCGGCGTGGCTGATATGGGAGATAACCGAACCGAGGTGCCGGAGGAACCTCTGCCGTTTCGACGCCGACGAGGTCACCAACGACACGGACGTCGTCATGGTTAACGGGATACGTCTGGTGGACAGCGTCATCCCCGCCAAGAGGTGGAGCCACCAGCTGTACGTCGTGTACGGGAGGGAGGCCACAGTGCACTTCCGCAGTTCTTTGTTGAATGGTAAGGTCAAGCGTGAGTGTGCGTTTGTCTCGTATGTTTGTATTTGACGCAAGGGTGGTAGGAAATGGGGAGAAGGGGGGGTTGTCTTGTGCCACTGACGTCATGAAGTTGGAGTCCACGATGTACACGTGATTCAAGCGAGGTCATGGCAGGCCAACATGGCGCATTGTGCAGGAATTCCAAAAATACATTTAAAAAAAATATATATATGTGAGGCATCGTGTATGGTCTTATGTCGGGGAGTTGCGCTGACAGCGCCCGTTTCAGGGAGGGGGCGCTTGTACTTTGACAAATGCGCGCACACCTCACCCCGCAGCACTGGGTACACGCTGAAATAAGGGAACCTCTACGACAACGTCATCACAATCGTAACCAGTGCCAGGAAGTCCAGCGGGCGAGATATGGTCAATGGTCTCCGAGGCTCAAGAATCCCCCAGCCTATCACCGTTTGTTCTCTACTAGCATGTGTGTGTTTTTATGTGATAAGATTGTGGCGTGTATCTGCTATTTATACTTTGTGGATGTAGATTTGCAGATATCTCAGATACATTAAAAAACAACAACACACATACGGAAAGTAATTTTGAGAACCACTGCCTTAAATGCCTTTAATAGACCACTACTGTAGATTATGATTTAATAATTTTATGCCCCCCCCCCTTCCGCAAGGTGTGAAAACGCATAAATATAATTTTATATTAAATCAATTCAGCCATTTCTTGATAATTTCATGATCATTGTACCACCTCCCCCACCCCCCCAACCGTCTTGCCACCACTAAAACTTCCATCCTGCCTACGACAAAGAACAGACAACTCCACCTGGAGGCACACCTTCAACTTAACGGCCAAACAACAACACACATACGGAAAGTAATTTTGAGAACCACTGCCTTAAATGCCTTTAATAGACCACTACTGTAGATTATGATTTAATAATTTTATGCTCCCCCCCCTTCCGCCAGGTGTCAAAACGCAAAAATATAATTCTACATTAAATCAATTCAGCCATTTCTTGATAATTTCATGATCATTGTACCCCCCCCCCCCCCCCAACCGTCTTGCCACCACTAAAACTTCCAACCTGCCTACGACAAAGAACAGACAACTCCACCTGGAGGCACACCTTCAACTTAACGGCCACCTACAGACAGGTGTCTGATCTCCACTGGCCCTATGGCGGGATCAAACTAAAGCCTGTCGCCCAGAAGCCCGATTACCGTAAGGAAATCTACTTTAATGATTAAAATAACTATATGTTTTCAGTGGGATTGCCCGAGAAAAAGGCGGGTGGGGTTTGGAGGGTTGGGTGGGTGGGGGGAGTGTGTGGGATAGTTATGACAAGGTGAGCAATCAAGTTTACACTCATCATAACACTGTCATAAGGCTTCATCATAGCACTGTCATAAGGCTTCACCGTAACACTGTCACAAGACTTCATCCTAACACTGTCACAAGGCTTCATTATAGCACTGTCATAGGGATTCACACTAACACTGTCACAAGACTTCATCCTAACACTGTCACAAGGCTTCATCATAGCACTGTCATAAGGCTTCATCATAGCACTGTCATAAGGCTTCACCGTAACACTGTCACAAGACTTCATCATAGCACTATCACAAGACTTCATCGTAACACTGTCACAAGACTTCATCCTAACACTGTCACAAGACTTCACCATAACACTGTCACAAGGCTTCATCGTAACACTGTCACAAGAGTTCATCCTAACACTGTCACAAGACTTCACCATAACACTGTCACAAGACTTCACCATAACACTGTCACAAGACTTCACCATAACACTGTCACAAGAGTTCATCCTAACACTGTCACAAGACTTCACCATAACACTGTCACAAGGCTTCACCATAACACTGTCACAAGACTTCACCATAACACTGTCACAAGACTTCACCGTAACACTGTCACAAGACTTCACCATAACACTGTCACAAGACTTCACCATAACACTGTCACAAGAGTTCATCCTAACACTGTCACAAGACTTCACCATAACACTGTCACAAGGCTTCACCATAACACTGTCACAAGACTTCACCATAACACTGTCACATGGCTTTTCTAAAGGGCTTTCTTTCTTTTCTTTTGTTTTAAAGCCACATTTGTGGCGCAGGAAAAGGACAACGAACTACATCTCATAAGGATGCATCAATCATGTCATTTTACCACTAAATACAATTTTAAGAGGAAATAAGCTGCTTGTGGGAAATAAGCTGCTTGTGGCGAAATAAGCTGCTTGTGGCGAAATAAGCTGCTTGTGGCGAAATAAGCTGCTTGTGGCGAAATAAGCTGCTTGTGGCGAAATAAGCTGCTTGTGGCGAAATAAGCTGCTTGTGGCGAAATAAGCTGCTTGTGGCGAAATAAGCTGCTTGTGGCGAAATAAGCTGCTTGTGGCGAAATAAGCTGCTTGTGGCGAAATAAGCTGCTTGTGGCGAAATAAGCTGCTTGTGGCGAAATAAGCTGCTTGTGGCGAAATAAGCTGCTTGTGGCGAAATAAGCTGCTTGTGGCGAAATAAGCTGCTTGTGGCGAAATAAGCTGCTTGTGGCGAAATAAGCTGCTTGTGGCGAAATAAGCTGCTTGTGGCGAAATAAGCTGCTTGTGGCGAAATAAGCTGCTTGTGGCGAAATAAGCTGCTTGTGGCGAAATAAGCTGCTTGTGGCGAAATAAGCTGCTTGTGGCGAAATAAGCTGCTTGTGGCGAAATAAGCTGCTTGTGGCGAAATAAGCTGCTTGTGGCGAAATAAGCTGCTTGTGGCGAAATAAGCTGCTTGTGGCGAAATAAGCTGCTTGTGGCGAAATAAGCTGCTTGTGGCGAAATAAGCTGCTTGTGGCGAAATAAGCTGCTTGTGGCGAAATAAGCTGCTTGTGGCGAAATAAGCTGCTTGTGGCGAAATAAGCTGCTTGTGGCGAAATAAGCTGCTTGTGGCGAAATAAGCTGCTTGTGGCGAAATAAGCTGCTTGTGGCGAAATAAGCTGCTTGTGGCGAAATAAGCTGCTTGTGGCGAAATAAGCTGCTTGTGGCGAAATAAGCTGCTTGTGGCGAAATAAGCTGCTTGTGGCGAAATAAGCTGCTTGTGGCGAAATAAGCTGCTTGTGGCGAAATAAGCTGCTTGTGGCGAAATAAGCTGCTTGTGGCGAAATAAGCTGCTTGTGGCGAAATAAGCTGCTTGTGGCGAAATAAGCTGCTTGTGGCGAAATAAGCTGCTTGTGGCGAAATAAGCTGCTTGTGGCGAAATAAGCTGCTTGTGGCGAAATAAGCTGCTTGTGGCGAAATAAGCTGCTTGTGGCGAAATAAGCTGCTTGTGGCGAAATAAGCTGCTTGTGGCGAAATAAGCTGCTTGTGGCGAAATAAGCTGCTTGTGGCGAAATAAGCTGCTTGTGGCGAAATAAGCTGCTTGTGGCGAAATAAGCTGCTTGTGGCGAAATAAGCTGCTTGTGGCGAAATAAGCTGCTTGTGGCGAAATAAGCTGCTTGTGGCGAAATAAGCTGCTTGTGGCGAAATAAGCTGCTTGTGGCGAAATAAGCTGCTTGTGGCGAAATAAGCTGCTTGTGGCGAAATAAGCTGCTTGTGGCGAAATAAGCTGCTTGTGGCGAAATAAGCTGCTTGTGGCGAAATAAGCTGCTTGTGGCGAAATAAGCTGCTTGTGGCGAAATAAGCTGCTTGTGGCGAAATAAGCTGCTNATCCAATGGCAACAGCAGGCCAAATACCCCCTCCCCCCCCCTCCGCAAGATGATGATGCTTCCGCCATTCCGTCACAACGCATGACGCGATTGTTCTTTTCATGTCAGTTCTGCTGTGAAATCTTTATTCTATCAATTCAGCAACAGGGCTAAATATATATTTTGTTATCTTTAATGTGATAATACCATCGCTCCAATACATATGCTCCTTCCAATTGTATGTCCATAGGGCCATAGTCATTATTGTAGAAGATTACGGGCTTTAGTTATGTTATGGCCACTTAAAAAAACAACAAAAAAACAAACAAATATTTTCCCAAAGGATCAAATCTAACTATGGAAAAGGCGACGTATTGTATCAGCAATTATTTTAGTAAATATAAAAGCAAATTTAAAAAAAAAAAAGTTTACTAAAAACAGAAATAATATTCAAGAATTCGCATCTTTCATGTTCCCTATTCAATATTGTGTCTACCATCTAGAAATACATTGATGTTGACATTTTTGGACGCTGTGGCAACGCAACCGCATGCTTGTCACCGCGGGGGGGCCAATGCCTTCTGGATCTGCTACGCCCCTACAAGTTCTACCTGGCCTTCGAGAACGCCTTCTGTCCGGACTACCTGACGGAGAAAATCTTCAAGACGTTCGTGTCGGACAACCACATCGTTCCTGTCGTCATGGGCGGGACCGAATACGACCAATACTTTCCCAAAGGCTCGCTGATAAACATCGACTGGTTTCCGACGGCCAGGGAGCTGGCGGTGTACCTGCAGGGACTCGACCCGGAGACGTACAGCGGGTATCTGGAGGTCAAGGACATGTACGAGACGCTGCCCGGATACAGCATTCTGTGCCAGGTGTGCGACGCCCTCGTCAAACAGTCGATGAAACCCAAGATTTACGACATTAAATCTTGGCTCGAGGAGGCGTGTCCATCACCTCGCTCAAAATTTTAGCCCCTGCCCACCGGCTCAGCCCCCCCCCCCCGGGCCAGCTCGGGTTAGAGCGCATGTGATAATCTTCAATAAATCCTGTCCAAATATGTACGACTGGATAACATCTTTATGGATGTCACGATAATAATTGATAGCTCTAATTGATAGCTTTAATTGATTGCTTTAATTAATAGCTTTAATTGATAGCTTTAATTGATAGCTTTAATTGATAGCTTTAATTGATAGCTTTAATTGATAGCTTTAATTAATTGATTTAATTGATAGCTTTAATTGATTGCTTTAATTGATTGCTTTAATTGATAGCTTTAATTGATAGCTTTAATTGATAGCTTTAATTGATAGCTTTAATTAATTGATTTAATTGATAGCTTTAATTTATAGCTTTAATTGATAGCTTTAATTGATTGCTTTAATTGATTGCTTTAATTGATAGCTTTAATTGATAGCTTTAATTGATAGCTTTAATTAATTGATTTAATTGATAGCTTTAATTGATTGCTTTAATTGATAGCTTTAATTGATAGCTTTAATTGATTGCTTTAATTGATAGCTTTAATTGATTGCTTTAATTGATAGCTTTAATTAATTGCTTTAATTGATAGCTTTAATTGATAGCTTTAATTGATAGCTTTAATTGATTGCTTTAATTGATTGCTTTAATTGATAGCTTTAATTAATTGCTTTAATTGATAGCTTTAATTGATAGCTTTAATTGATAGCTTTAATTGATAGCTTTAATTGATAGCTTTAATTGATAGCTTTAATTGATAGCTTTAATTAATTGCTTTAATTGATAGCTTTAATTGATAGCTTTAATTGATAGCTTTAATTGATAGCTTTAATTGATAGCTTTAATTGATAGCTATAATTAATAGCTTTAATTGATAGCTTTAAATGATAGCTTTAATTGATTGCTTTAATTGATTGCTTTAATTTGTAGCTTTAATTGATAGCTTTAATTGATAGCTTTAATTGGTAGCTTTGGAGCTGGCACAGGATAACGTGATACTGCACCGCTAACGTTCCTATTGTATGATGCCCATACATAGGGCTATAGTCATCATTGTGGAAATAACGGGCACCGCAGTTAGTTGGTGGCCAATTAAGAAAAAAATAACCATAAGGTTATTTGTCATGTAAGTGCGGAATTCTATTAATAGAACATCCGGGCCTACAATCTGGCCAATCTTATTATGATAGTATTAAAACATCCTGGTAACCCTTTTGGCCCATTATCTCCAAAACAGCTGTTGCGTACTTCTACGTAAAATGCAAGCCAGAATTGTGGGTCTTAACCTGGACGAGTACGTGTTTAAAACTTTATTTTACGAAAGAATTAAAAAAAAAAAACCCAAAACAAATAGTTGCTGCTATACACACGCGGAAATACATTTGTTAGAGGCTATGTCTTAAGCAAACATTGTCTAAAGAAAAAGTGACATTACGTCATGCGATGTGACGCTTTCCGGTCTAAGAAAGGGCAAACCCTATTGCCCAACAAGGATTAAATCTATCTATGGAAATGACAGCGGCGTATCGTCCCATTCTACCCCCCCCCCCAATCAAAGATTTTAAAGTTAAAAACAAGAAGAATGGGAACCAACAGATATATCGGATCCCGTTTCTTGCGTCATAGCATATTATTGACCTTATCACGCATTTACCGTTACGGTGTTGTGATAATAATTGAAACAATTTGTGAATGCCTTTTGCTTAAAGCCACTATGAAAACAAAAAATCAAAGCTAAAGATTCGGTCATGCATACAAATCATACTAGCGATTACAATTATAGGTACAATTCTGCTTATAATTCGCAGACATCCCCCCCCCCCTTTTTTTTTAGTTTTAAAAAGACTAGACAGTATAAATAATTGATAACTTTAAGATTAATTTAAAAGTCAGAAAGTTGAAAAGATTGACATGTTGTTTAGTTTAAACAGAGAGAAGAATCAACAACTCAGTAAAACTACCAACCCCAACCCCCAAAAAATAATTAAAAAATAAAATAAAATAAAATCGATTAATTAGAAAAAAGTAATTAATATTCGAGAATTCGCATCTTTCATGTTGCTCATTCAATATTGTGTCTACCATCTAGAAATACATTGATGTTGACATTTTTGGACGCTGTGGCAACGCCACTGCATGTTTGTCACAGCGGAGGGGCCAGTGCCTTCTGGATCTGCTACGCCCCTACAAGTTCTACCTGGCCTTCGAGAGCGCATTCTGCCCGGACTACCTGACGGAGAAAATCTTCAAGACGTTCCTGTCGGACAACCACATCGTCCCTGTCGTCATGGGCGAGACCGAATACGACCAATACTTTCCCAAAGGCTCGCTGATAAACATCGACTGGTTCCCGACGGCCAGGGAGCTGGCGGTGTACCTGCAGGGACTCGACCCGGAGACGTACAGCGGGTATCTGGAGGTCAAGGACATGTACCAGACGCTGCCCGGATACAGCATTCTGTGCCAGGTGTGCGACGCCCTCGTCAAACAGTCGATGAAACCCAAGATTTACGACATTAAATCTTGGCTCGAGGAGGGGTGTCCATCACCTCGCTCGAAATTTTAGCCCCTGCCCACCGCTGAGACCTCGATTTAGGGGGAAAAAGTCACAGAAAAAAAAAAAAAGTAGCAAAATATGTTTCATCTAAGCTCCTAAATTTCAGTGTTAATGAAACTATATTTGTAAGTCCATATCTATAATATGTTTTTATATATTTTTTTTTTATATTAACGAGCCGCATAAAGTTAAGGTCATTGCTTTAGATTAGTATTGTAAGGGGAGCAGAAATTTAGGAACAGGAAATTTGCTATCAAGTGGAGTCAACAGAGAAGTAATCAATGGTCAGTAACAGAGAAGTAATCAATTGTCAGTAACATTTCATGCGTATGTACAAATACTCAGGTCAATCCGCCACTTGAAAGTGCCACTTATGTTGTTTTGGCGATAAGGTTGCACACCTCGGTGTGCAAATTAACCCTTTGGATTCTGTTAGCCTTGTGTTTCATTAACCTTAAAAATACTGGTGTCTGAAGGTTACGACACGAATCACACCCCCCCCCCCACACCCCCCTACATTCATTCAACCAGAAAATGTCATTATTTGAAATGGTGGGGGGAAAAGGGGGGTGCGGGTGGCACTGAACTGAAGCCGGTCAGTGAACTATTGAGTTATTAGACCAGGGGTTCTTAACCTTTTTGGAGGTACCGAACCCCACCAGTTTCATATGCGCATTCACCGAACCCTTCTTTATAGGATTAATAAAAAAAAATAAAAAATTCTGATTTTTTTTTTTGGACCTCCACCGAACCCCTGAGACTGACTCACCGAACCCCTGGGGTTCGATCGAACCCAGGTTAAGAACCACTGTACTAGACCAAGCAAGCACTTTTTTGTCGAGATCTTGCCAGTAAACTGGTTAATGTTTCCGGTCAGTATAAAGGTACACCGTGTCATGAGGCCACAGTTGTTAATGATTTGTTTCGTCATAGCGTGTTTTTTTTATTTATTTATTTATTTGTGCGTGTTTTGATACATTTATATTGTTTCGTGAGCGTGTAAGGCGTCACATTTTAAGTTAACCATCTTTGTTGAGGAGGTGAGAGGACATGACGTAATTGTGTATTTATTGTGTGGCAGCTGGTTGTTGTGAGAAACCGCTCGACTGGCAGATTAGCTTACGAGGAATGGTCGTAGTTTTTGAGTAGGAGTTGAAATGTTGAAATGTTCATTTTTGAGTTTAATAAATTGTATTTTATGTTGAGTTACCCATTGAGTTATTTATTGAATATACCAGATCAGATTTAAAAGAGTTCGTTTTCGACAGTTAAACAAATGTTAGTTAGATTTCGTCATTTAAAGAAAATAGTTAGATTTCGACATTTAAATAAGTTAGTTAGATTTTGACATTTAAATAAGTAAGATTTATTTCGACATTTAAAGAAGTCAGTTAGATTTTGACATTTAAAGAAGTTAGTTAGATTTCAACATTTAAATCAGTTAGTTAGATTTCGACATTTAAAGAAGTTAGTTAGATTTCAACATTTAAATCAGTTAGTTAGATTTCGACATTTAAAGAAGTTAGTTAGATTTCGACATTTAAAGAAGTTAGATTTTGACATTTAAAGAAGTTAGTTAGATTTCGACATTTAAAGAAGCTAGTTAGATTTCGACATTTAAAGAAGTTAGATTTCGACATTTAAAGAAGTTAGTTAGATTTCGACATTTAAAGAAATTAGATTTCCACATTTAAAGAAATTAGATTTCGACATTTAAAGAAAATAGTTTCCCCACAGTTTTTTGTGAGTCTCGTCTGGAAACAACTCACTGATTATTGGATCAACGGTGCACCCCAGAACAGACGTCTGTGAAAAAGGAACCAGGACGCCCCAGAAGTAATATATATATGTAAGAGATGTTAAAAATAGGGATGAAATGAAAAAAGCGAACACCTGTGTTGCCGTATGTGAGTTTATTTCGCATGAGAGAAACTTAAGTACACATAATTGGATTTTTATTTGGAGTTTGCAGGCGACGTTAGCGAGGTCAGTTGTTATAGCCCCCCTTTGAAGGTCTGTCATAACAAAGGCTATAAAAGGGAATGTGAGTATAAGGTGAGTTCGGAGTTCCCCGGGGTCAGGACGTGCGTTCTGAGTTCCCCGTGGTCATGAGGTGAGTTCTGAATTCCTTAGGGTCAAAATAAAAGAGGCTATGTAAAAAAGTATTGCTGCGTTTCAACTGTTTAACATAAATGATAGGACCATCTTAGTATCAACGTCCAATGACCAGTCGAGTGGGTAGCGAGAGGGATTTGTGCAAAAAATTGTCCGTTTCATACGATCCAAAGAACAAGACTGGTGTTAGAAAGTATAATTGAAATGTCCAATGAACAAGAGCTGGTCAAAAAAAATGTCATAACTCCAGGTCTCATAAAAAAGATTATACTCAGATAATATTTGCGATATATTATTATCTATACGTATACGCCAAATACCTACCAATCACTCACTAACTCACTGACTCACCGACTCACCCACTCACCCACTCATCCACTCACCAACTCACTCACTCACCCACTCACCCACTATCTCAAACAATCAATCAATCAATCAATCAAACAATCAATCAATCAATCACTCACTCACTCACTCACTCACTCACTCACTCACTCACTCATTCACTCACTCACTCACTCACTCACTCACTCACTCACTCATTCACTCATTCACTCACTCTCTCACTCACTCACTCACTCACTCACTCACTCACTCACTCACTCACCCACTCACTGACGATCTCAAGAACAAAAAAGCATCAGAAAGTGGTACTAAATTGTTGTTCATTACATTAAGAACATGGTCGGAACTTTAAAAAAAAGGAAAACAGTGAAAGTCAGCTGGCCACTGATTCTTGTGCAAGTCAGCTGGCCACTGATTTTTGTGCAAGTCAGCTGGCCACTGATTCTTGTGCACGTCAGCTGGCCACTGATTCTTGTGCAAGTCAGCTGGCCACTGATTCTTGTCTCAAATTTAAATTAAACAGCCCTTAAAGCAAAGGTTTTTTTTCGTACAAATCCTTTATACAATGGAATATCGAGCAATCGGGGCTTGGGGATAAAAGCTTAAGACAACATGCATAATAATAATCATAAGGGGTCTTATATAGCGCGGTACCCCAGCCTAGGGCTGGGCTCACCGCGCTGTACATACAAATTTTATCAAAAGAGACATAATCATGACATTAAAATAAAATACATTTATGAAATAAAGAACAGCAATGTATATTCACCCACCCCACCACATAA